CTCACGAATTTTTCAAAAATTTGGAAGCAAAAATTCGAAAAAATCGAACAAAAAGAAATCAAAAAAATCGGACCCAAAAGAAAAAGAATGGGATAGAAAATGTTCACGAACACCAAATCAATCACTCTCAATGAAAGCACCAATGATGAAGGATCGGGTGTTCGCGTCCTCGACTTGTCTCGATCACGGCTTCGCCACGGCCTTGCTCTCGACGATAGGTGTGATCGACTCGGTTATTAGCCTAACTCTCTCACGATACTTGAGTTCACTCGGGTATTAGCCTCGCTACACTCTCGAAATAGATCGGGTCTTAGCCTCTCTAAATCGTTGAACTGGCTCAGGTCTTAGCCTCACCAATTCGATTTGTATGATCGAATCTCACGACTCTCAACACACGGTTTCGAACAAACGTTCTTTTCTATTCCATTCCAAGACATCCAATTATGAAGAGTACATGGGGTATTTATAGGTGCAAAATAAATCTAGGCCTAATCAAACTAGATCTCCTATTCTATGCAATAAAATAATCCTAATTCTACTAAATCTCTAATTAAAGCAATTAAATATTAACTAACGTAATATTCTAGATACTATTGTGCAAGAAGGAAACTAAATATATCAAAGTCCTAAATTGACTAGATCTTGATCTTGCTTGGCTTGCACTCCAAACAATTCCCAACTCTTGCCCAAGTCTTCGGCTGCCATGTACGCGTCGCGCGCCTGCCAGCTCGCGCGCCGCCCTCGCCTTTTCTACTCCTCGTGGCGTGCGGCAACCCTCGCGCTTGACTCCCACGCAGCGTCCTTCGCGCGCGCGCCTAGTCCGCCGACGTCCTCATGCGCGTGCACGCCTGCTCCCAGCACTCCTATGCCCGCTGGGCTTAGGACGTCAACCGCGTACGCGCTATCGCGCCCGCCCGCTGCTGGCGCATCTCCGTCCCTTGCGTGCGTACGCCCGTAGTCCGTGCGCACCTTGCGCCCGTCCAACGCATCGAATGCCAACGCATCCCAATCGACGCCCGTGGCCTTCTTGCTTACCGCACACCCTTCTGCCGCTCGTGCACGATCACTCGGCCAAAGCGCGCCATCGCTTGTAGCCCTGTTGCGCGCATCATGGCCCGATGCGCGCCATTTGCTTATTCGTCCCATGGCCACGCTCGTCCATTCACAGTAACCCCTCCCGCGCATCAACCACCCAACATCCACCCCCTGTGCGCCACTTCGCCAAATCGTCAAGCGCCATGCGTGTCTACGCCAATGCGCGTGTGCGCGCCCTTCTTGAATGCGCCCTTTTTCGTGTGCTTGTGCGCCTCGCATACGAGCTCGTACCCGTCTTTTAGGCCATGCACGCGTTGTTTTGGCTCTTTTTCTGGCCTCATCGGGTTGTCTCGGCTCTTGGCCCTTCTTGTCGTCGGGGCTCGGAACCCACTTCCGCATCAAGTAGGCTGGGCGTGGCCCTTCGCGGGCTGAAGCTGTGAGGCGTGCGGGTCGTGAGGCCCGCACGCGCTGGATCCTTTCTACTGGGCTGCTTCCGCATTGGCCACCTCGCTGATGGGCCGTCTTCATTACTGGGCTACCTGCAACGCCTTCTGGATGGGTCTCCTCACCAACGGACCTGAGCTGCACGTATTGGGCTTCGCGAGCTATTGGAAAGGACCTGGTCTCCTGGGCTGGGGCGCGAACAGGCCAGGAAGCATGGCTTCCCATGGAGATCCGACAGGCTGGGGCAGGCGGCGCGTGACGGAGCGTGAGCCGACAGAACTGGTACGTTCGGCGGTGGCTGATCTCTGAAATTTGATTGGGTGGTCGCTGGAGGTCAACAGTCGTCGTTGGACACTCGCTTGTTAACTCTAATACATCCGGTATTCATAATCTGTCTTCTCGTGAAGAACGGACAACCCCGCGAATTACAGAAACATTACGGGCTTGAATATATATATATATTACGAGGCTGGATAAATACATATAAATCGATTTACTTCAGCGTGTTTAATGAATAAACTTCCAATTTAATCCCCGAATTATATTCGAGCTCCAATAATAATTACTCGATTTACTTCAGCGTGTTTAAGATATAATGTCCATCAATTAATCTAATTACTGACAATTAAATTAATTGACATCTATAATCGAGACTAGTACCACTCATCACATTATTATTATGTCGGAATAAATTCCACTAGCCAGATTTACATAATAATCCTTCATGAGCTCATCTCGGGGACATCATCAAACTAACGCACACGGTGACCGGAAATATCCTAACAGCACATCATACATGCAACAATATTACCCAAGACAGCGGGTCTATTGGCCCACTTAACTAAGCCTCACCTATGTGAATCAAAATAATAAGTACTGCACATATATGAATCCATGTTGCTGCAAAGCAATCCTCCCACTAAGATAAAGTACCTCCGGCAAAGTGTTTTACAAGAGACACATGTTTGTTGTAATGCCTCGTTTAATTTTGACTAATATTGGAATTATTTAAGTATTATTGCATTATTATTATTAATATTTATATTAATTATCTAATTGCTTAATTGCTATTATTATTATTATTATTATTATTATTATTATTATTATTATTATTATTATTATTATTACAATTTATATAAATATTAAATGTCTAAATTGTTTAATTTATAATATGTGTTTAAATGTTTATGTAATATTATTTGCGTGTATTATATATATTATATGTTTTCGTTATCTATTTATCGAGCCCGAATATGCTTAAGTGTCGAATCAAGGGAGAACCCAACGCCGCGTGCCCGCGTCCGAAACCGTGAGACCCGCGCCCGATTAGCCGCCATGTGCCTTACCCGTTTCTCTCCAACCCTTGGTTACTTGATGGCTAAGTTAGGAAGGTTTAATTAACCCTAACCTAGTCTATTTAAATCGCTCAACCTCAGCTCTCTCATGATCAAATCCCACAGTCATCAACTCTCAATCTCACTTTTCTCCCTCGCAAGTCTGCGCGTTGCCGAAAAGAAGAAATGAAGTTGCTCCATGTTTATCGTCGCACCTCATCACCACCATTTTATCCATCATCAATGTTCGCTGCTCTGTTCCCGTGCTTGTTCGCTGCACTGTTCCCGTGCTTGATCGCTGCTCTGTTCCCCTGCTCGCGAGTTCTCAAGCTTGAATCAATGCAGTCCCGACGAGCTCGTTACCCGATCGCGATCAGTCCAGTCCCGAGCAGTCCCCATCGACGCGACCCTTACCCGCTGTTCAAGCTGCACATCGCGATCATTTGCCCGCGTTGCTCCCGGCATGCTTCCATTGATCATCGCTCGTGTCCCTACGTTTTCCGGCGAGCCCTCCCTCCATCAACAACCATGCTCAGCCACTGGCCACCACAAGGACTCCGTTGTCGCGCCTCTCGTCGTGAACATCTCCTCGCAGGGCCTTCATTGCTGTCTCCAGACCCGTGTCCCGTCCGTGAGGCAAACGTAGTTGTCGAGCCCCCTCGTGCAGTCCGTTTCAGCCCTGACTCGACCCTTTCGCGTGTCCATATCTCGAGAACGATACCCGAGCTTCTTATCCCGCTCGATTTTGTTATGCTTATATATGTTCTTGGTGCATTAGAGATATATTTATATGATTAAGTTTATTTAATTGTAATTAGGTGGAATTTTATTGATTAATGTGAGATTTTGTTAAATCCTATTGATTTCGTGTAAGTTTTGTGGATAATGGGACCTCGTCGAGTTCTTGGCCTTATGGCGAAGGCCTTGGACGAATTGGTCGAGTATTGAGTCGTTTATGATTTTTCGGGACTGAACCAGCTGCTGAATATTTGTTAAATTCATAAAAAATTACATGATACTCCGAATGATGTGAAATTTTGTATGTAATATCATGTGATGAATATACATGTCGTGTAAAAATTTTAGGTTTAAAATCCATCTACTATTGTAATTAATTAGTTTGTTTTCTGGGTAGATTCGTATAAATTGCATATAAAATTAAGTTATGCTCCAAAAAGGCTGAATTTTGAATATGTTGTTCCTCTATCATATTTGGATGTGTAAATATTTCATAATTTTTGGACTTCGTTTGCTAGGGTAATTAATTGTTTGCGTTATTCTGCTGAAACTCGTTTTATTTATGAAAAATTGACCAGTTGCTGTAAATTGCTGAAAATTGGTGAGCATGCTCTTTTTATGTTGTATTACTTGTCTTAAAATTTTCAGAATTTATTATGTTCATTAAGATAGGTTTTTAATTAAAATGAGTTTGCTGTTGAATATTATCGAAATTTCTATAAATTGTGTGTTTGATGTTCAAAACTGTAAATTTTATATGTGGGTCCTCACATGCTGTAGTTTTCTGTGTAAAAATTTCAAGTCTGAATCCGTTCATTTGGTTAGGCTATGAACTTATGCTCGTTTTTGCTGTAAACTTGTTTTAATTTTATAAAATCGAGTATATTAAGTTAATGGCTGAAACTTGTTGATATTGCTATGTTTATTTAGAAGAATATTATATTGAAATTTGAGAACCAAACTCATTCATTTGTCTGACCAACATAAATTGGTGTGTTTGCCATAATTGGTTTCGAGTCGAGTCCAAGTGTTCCAATGTCCACAGAACTCCACGAACGACTTAGTTGAATAAAGTTCGACTAAGTATGATTTGTGTGCTCCTTCTAAGGTCAAGATAAGATGACTGTAATATCTTGACTTGTTGTAAGTGCTTGACGAGCCGAGCTCGCCGCCTACCCCCTTTATTGTTTGCGCTTTCATTTGCTCTCGACCAGGTGGGTTTTATTTGAAAAATTAGCTATGCTATAAATGTTATTATTGTTTACTTGTGGTATGATCAAAGTATGCATGTGGATCATGTAGCCTTTGATGTGAGATGTACCGGTCGTCGAACGGTTGTCCCCGTAGTAATAGAACGGACCTTGTCGGGGAAATCTCCTCTTTCCGCCTGTAAGACCAGGGCTGTGCTCGGTCGGATCCCTGTTGTGAGTCAGGGTGATGCTCAGCCGACGGGGGTAACTCCTACTATTTGGGCATCGTTTTAAGACCTGAGCGAAGGCATTCGATACGTGTATCAGCAGTAGTCTATTGATATAGGTGTGCACATGAGTCTTAATATTGATATTATTGATGGGAGAATGGGATAGATTATTGCTTCGTATACATATTGAGACCATACCTTATTGATTTATGATTATTGTTTCATTATTGCGAATAACGTTTACTACATAGTGGTTAGCACCACGGTTTACTCTTGTGCTCACCCCCACCTGCTCTTCATGGATGCATGTTAGTATTGCGGGCACGACAGAAGGATGCGAGTGGTGGTCTTAATATTTGATATTGCTTACGCCTCTGAAACTAAATATTGTTATTATTGTTTCCTTATTAGAATATTGGATTATTGATAGGGAGTGTACTTCCTAGAATATTATGATTATTGGATTGCGGATTTGAGTATTGAGGTTTTATTATCGACAAATGAGGATTGATTATAGATTGAGTATTGAGAATTTGTTAAGTATTGATGTTCGTTTTGATAATGGGTAGCGCCTCAAGTATTTTTGAAATAAATTCGAAAATATTATTCTGATTTTTGGCAAATAAAAGTGGGGCGTTACAGTTTGGTATCAGAGCCAGTCTGCGTTTCTGTAGACTGGTTAATGTGAATTATGTGATTATGTGCTTCAAACTTATGTTATGACCACTCGCTCTTCTCGTGCCGCGCCAGCTCAGATATGAGTACCTAAATGATTTTGAGATTATTGTGCATTGTTGGTTATTGATATGAAATTGGGGCTTAGAATCCATCCACCTTCTAAATTCTAACACTAGTGTTGAACTCTAGATTTCGTATGAATCGTGCTAAATTTTCGGCCTATTCAATGTAGAACCATGGCTCGTCGTAATGCTCGCAACCAGCAGCCTACCCCGTCTCCACCCCCATCCCCCCTCACCAGCAGGCTCCCAACCCAGCTGGGGCTCATCTCGGTGTTGTGCTTCAGTTTCGACAATTGACCACACGACATTCTCTGGGGTTGAAGCGCCTACAGCAGTAGCAGAGTGGATCCGCCAGCTAGAGTAGAATTTTGATCTTTTGCAGTGCATCGGCGCCCAGAAAGTCATTTGTGGCTGTTATATGCTGAAGGGTGATGTCGCTTTATGGTGGACCAGCTACTGGAGATTGAGGCAGAGTGAGCTGGCTATTTTGACTTGGGATCGCATGAAGGAGGTGATCATGGAGAAATACTACCCGCAGAGTTATCGCATGAGAATGGAATTGTAATACCCCGTTTCATTTTTAATTATTGGAAAATAATTATTGATTATTGCTATTATTAAAATATCTTTATTATTATTATCATCGTTGTTGTTATTATTACAATTATTATTATTAATATAATTGCTATTAACTGTCTAATTGCTATTATTTATTGGTTATTAGTAACATTGCTATTATTTATATTAATTGTCTAAATATTAATATTTGTTACATTAATATTATTTGAATTAGTTGTCTATATTGTATTATTGCTCGACATTTTCTGTCTAGACTTATTATTATTTAATTAGATTAGATGTTGTCTAATTACTATAATAAGTCGTATAATTCTAGTTGTTATTCGTCGTTCGTCGAATTATTCGTAGACTTGCGATTTAATCGCTTATATTTTTATTTTCGGCCCAGCGCGGTTAATTTTAGCAAAATTTGTATTCAACTTTTCGGCCTAGGTGTAGTATTTTCTCTTGGCCCAGTTGAAATTTTAATTTGTGGCCCAATTAAATTAATCATGAGCAGACCCATTCTTTTTCCTTCCTCTCTCGCCAAGTATGACCGAGTCGTCATCTTCAACCGTTCAAATTTTCGTTGCGATATTCTGGGAGATCCTCATGGCACGTTCGACAGCCAATCGTTCATCCACTCCTTCTTAGGTCTAATCTCTCTCTCTCTCGCATAGCAAAAAAAAAAAATAATATAGATCACTTACCGGAAATTCCAGCGACCGCCATCGTTTTCAGCGAGAGCACTGCTCGCCGGCGTCTTCCTTGCCGTCGTCTTATTCTCACGATCACTCGCAGTCAGAAGCCATATCCAGCCCCGAACCTCGAGACAAAGCTCCACCGGCGAGCCTCCTCCATCACGTTCAGTTCCAGCTTTCGGGACCCGTCGAGTCCCGTCGGAGTGCCGAACGTAGCCGTCGAGGCCCGTCGAGTTCCGTCGGAGTGTCAAACGTAGCCGACGAGCCCCGAGAGTGGTATTTTGGCTGAGCCTATACCTTATAAATTCAACGAGATTATGAGTTTTATATGCTTAAGTTTTCAGTTTTTAAGTAAGTTTATCCATGCTAAAGTTTATTAAGTTTTATGTGAACTGTGAAACATGTTTTAATCCTATTTGTAGTGATTGTTTTGAGCTGAACCTTAGCAATATTTATTGACCGAAGCAATTGTTTGATCTTCAGTTTGATTGGATTTTGGTCTAGCATGTTTGTACGTTAATCTTAAACCTTGTGTTGCTCTTATACGTTGAACTCTATGTATTGCTATCATGCTGAAAATGAGTAAAGATCAGAGTAATTGTCTCAGCTTTATAAAGCCCGTAACATGTGTTAAGTTGGTACCAGGTCTAGCCGTGTGGTTGCCTTGCAATTGTTGGGAATTCTTTTGTACTTTAGTTGTTGTTTATGTGTTTATTGAGACTTGCGTATTGATATATTGCTAAGCCTTATGATGTGAGGTGATTAGAAGGCTGAAAATTTCATAAATGTTAGTATTTGGTATCAGTTATTTGGCTTTGGCATATGAGATGGTTGCTTGAGTGGCAGAATGTGATTTTGATGCATGTTAATGTAGATTGCCTTATCCCTTCTTTTGAATTATTTGCTGTAAGTATACCTTGTTCATTGCTGAGGTTGTGATGAGTTCTTTATGCTGATAATATAGCCTAAGTCAGTTATTTTGCGACCTTGAGTAGGGCTAAATGTAGAAAAAAAAAGAGGAAAGAAAATGAGGCTTATATGCATGTTGGTGTGGTCATGTCGTTTCCTTTGAATTACTGTAGAAATCAAATGAATTGTATGATTTTCTTATGTTCAAATTGATCATTTCTTAGCCTTACACCATTTTTTTAAAAAAATCCCTGGGTGTGGCTTAATTAATGAGCAAATGATAGGAAATTTGGCATGTTGTTTAATGTGTTGTCGTGCCTTATGTGTGTTTTCGGTTTTCACATTAATTATGTGTGGAATATTGTTCCTAATGTTTCAGCTTGTGGTTAGAAAATGAAACTGAACTTTCGAGCCTTATAGTTAAAGAGAGTTGGTTGCTTTGTTTGTGCTTATTTGTCGTAAATGCTTGCTTTGTGCGTTCTATAAATCGGTTAATCAACCTCAACCAAACCTGTAGTAATTAAAACCCTAATTTGTAGATTAAGAGGAGTCGAGCCCTTGCCTTGTTTGCTCGTGCATTCGTCGTCATCCTCTGCAATCTAGGTGGGATGTAATTGTAAAAATTTCTATGCCTTAAATGTTATTGTTGTTTTATTTTGTGGTATGATGAAAGTATGCATGTGAATCATGTAGCTT